ATAGCTTATGCAATTTATGGATGTTCTTGAATCTCAGTAAACCCCCCTGCACAAAACCATTTAATCATTTTTGTCTCACTAACAAGTTGCAATAGTTTTTTCAAATACTAATCTCATCGAGATTATTTAATACTTTGGTTGTCTCAGGACCAAAATGGGCAATAGCATAACTAGGACGGGATAACTGCCCTGGGCACTGACTTGGCGGGGAGGCGGGGGCAGGAAGAAGAGAGGGACAGGTGGAAAAAGAAACAGCTGTTGCTGCCACCATGTGTTGCAGTTGCTGCACTTGCCTGGCTGTTGTGTTATGCCTCTGGAAATGGAGTATGGTAGGGTGACCATATAGGGCAATGTGACATCTGGGACTATGTGACATTTCAGACACTGCCCCCCTTTTCTCCCCCCACTCTGCCTCAAGTCAAGTAGAGACAAGGATGGGGCGGTATGGTGCAGCTCTGGTATTACTATTCAGGCACCTAAGGAAGTCAATGGTTCATTAATGAGCCATGTTCTTTACTTCACAGGTGTTACCAATCAGCTCTCCTTTTAATAGTCATTTCACTAAACAAGCTAACCTATTTTAGGGTAATTTTCTGTCTGCTAGAGCTTCTTATTTCAAATATTAAAGGTCTACAAGGCTAGGTACATCGTTAAGCCCCCTCTACATGTGCAGGTAAAGGTGGAATGGGATCTAATGCATGATTCATACCATCTGGCCTCCTGCAATGCCACACAGGCTTCCCCTGTACTAGCAAGAAGCAGGCTCCCATGACTGGAAGCCCCACACAACCCAGTTAAAGGACTACCAGCCATGGGGGCACCCTTGCACCCCCATGGCTGGAGGATCCCCACTGCCGTGATCTCCCCATCCCAGGGATGTGGGGAAACCCCTGGGGCCAGAGGATAACCACAGAGGTGATCCTCCCACCAGGGTGATCCTCTAGCCCTAGGGGTTCCTCCGCATCCCCAGGGTGGAGGGATCACCCCTATAGCAATACCCAGGCCATAGGGGTTTCCCACACCATGGAGCCCTAGGGATCATGGCTACCATGATCCCAAAGGTTGGGGGGGGGGGTTCACTGGGCATGATACAGTCCTGCAGCTGAGAGCCCCATCAGCTGACAGGTCTCTCAGCAGCAAGGAAGACCCTGCTACATGTGAAAATTAAAGCCCAATAACAGCCAGGTATAAAAGTAGTACACATGTTTTAGGTCTAACTTTATAGTTGGTTGGAGCTTTTTATTGTGTGATAGCTACTTTGCACGTGTACCTGGTCTACAGGTAATTGCTCAATTATGCAACACCTGTAATGTGTAGAGGGGCCCTCAGTGTAATACATGTCTTCATTAACAAAGCACAGAATATAGTAAGATATTAGCATCTCGTCCAAATAGATGAAACAGGCAGAAAATATTTGAAAGGGAAAAATACCTGATTTTTTCCCTCTTTTTTAGTGAACAACCTAGTTCATACAGAGAAACGTACAAGTTATTTTCAGTTTAACTACTGTTATGAAATGATGAGACAAACATCTGTAATTTATTTATTTCTACACGTCCTGTAAAATTATACTAATTGTATATACACATTACCTCAAGCATTTTTAAAAATTCATTTTCAGGACTGAAGCAGCTGTTGCATTTTTCCAGGCATTAGCACTGTCATGGGTAGACATATTTTTGTAGCAGTTCAATTATTACTGCTATAATTCAAATTTTCATTTCCTGTCAATTTAGTGGGCTTAATTTAGAATTTAAATTAGTAAATTGTAACAGCTGAGCTATGATTGAATGTCCTAACCATGCCAACTTTTTTGTGCTCACAGCAGGCTCACAGCTGTTAATATTTGCTCAACAGCAACTACTACTTTTATCTCCTAAATAAATCTTAATAAAGCCAAGATTAAATGTGCACATTTGTGTTCTATGATTTTTATTATTATTTTTGCAATAAAAACAGCATATATTCAACACAATTTTTCCATGTAAGCTAATAGAGAAGATATGGCCTAAGTCACAGAATCCCTAGTTTTTCAGTGTTACACAGAAAACAGACTAGAAAGGTTTTATCTAATAGGAATATTCTTATATTTGTAAGTTATTTTGTCTGGAACAATTATTTGACCACAAAAACCATCCACAGTGATCACTGAAATTTCTATTATCATTATTATAGTCCTTTAAGATAATACTATTAAAAAGGAAAGAATAGTGCACTGATAACTTCAACAAGAGCAATAATCAGATACAGAAAGGAAAAATTCGAGACTTTGTAAAATTGTTCTGCTTTGTTTCTTCCCAAGATTATGCTCAGAGGAATCAGTGGCACTATTCAATAATTTCTGAACAACATACAAGCACAGAGTGAGAAAGGAGTTAGACTATATAAAACTATAAAAAGAAAGATGTACTGTCAGGGTTCTTTCAGTAAATCTGGTATATTTTATTAGACCAACTCAAATACAAGCAGTCCTCGACTTACAACGTTTCGCATTTACATTTATAAATTGACACCCTGTTTCAACTTTCTGATGTCATTTTCAACTTTACAATGCTTAATCTGATGCCATGCCATGCCAGTGAACAAGTTTGCTGCATCACCCATCTGTCTGGAGAACATCTGTCCACACTTCCTTGGACACTATTTTTAAGAAAGCAGACAAGACTCCAGAAAAACCTGCAGCCAAGACTCCTGAGAAGACTCCAGCCAAGAACCCTTCAAAAAGCCCAGCAAAGTCACCTCAAAGAAGTCCTTCCAAATCAATATGATTGCTATTTACAATATAAATATATTAATGTAGCTATATTACTCATCTCTGTACTCTGTAATTGAATACAAATTTCTAGGTTATTTTTTTATGGAAATAGGTATTGGACCTTGGTTCAGGAACCAATCCCCCATTTATAACATTGTTTCCTATTGGAAAATTGGTTCTGAGTTGCAATGTTTCGACTTAAGATGTGGTTTTCAGGAATCAATTGTGTCATAAGTCCGATGCCTGCCTGTAGTTGGAAAAATTCTTCTTTGCAAGCTTTTGGGTACAAATCACGATTCCTGCTTTTGGCTTTTGCTCAACAAGGACATTCCTCTAGAGAGATAGATCGCACTTTTAAAAGAGCCACCTGGATACCATGCAAAGAATTGCTGCAGTACAGAAGGAAAACCCCCATGAATCACACACCACTGGTTATGATATATCACTCCTCCCTTGAAACTATACAGAAAATCCTCAAACAATTGCAACCCATACTAAAAAAAGACCCAATTATTATTAAAGAGATCTTTCCAGAACCACCCATCCTAGCCTTCAAATAAGCACCAAACCTTGCTAACCTCGTCACCAGAAGCAAACTTCCTACAGCCCAAAACACACCAAATGGATCCAGATTATGCCATGAGGGGAAATGTAAAACCTAACAACATATCTCCACCACACACACAATTACTATACCCCATAACAGAACCACCAGCATTCCTGGATCTTGCAGCTGCACTTCCAGACATGTAATATATCTCATCCAATGCACCAAATGCACTGATGGAAAATATGGAGGAGAGATCAAAAACAATTGTGTACCAGAACGAGCACACACCGGAAATCCATCAAAGACAAAAATACCCAATTACCTGTGGGGGCACATTCCTCACAAGAAAACCACACGCTCTCCAATCTCTCAGTTCTAATTCTCAAAGGGAATTTACAAAACATCTTTCACAGATGAACCTGTGAACTTCACTTCATCAACCTACCAGATACAAAAAAAATATGGTCTAAATATATACATTGGATTTATGACACATTATAACCTGCTTAACTTCTGACTCTCCAGGTACCTCTCCACGGTTTACCAGCTACATTCATTCCCCTTCTCTACCCTCTCCCCCACTCCCCTGCAACCTGTCTCTTACCCACTGACTCCTCAATTTACATCTTCACTGACTGGTTTTCTTGCCTGCATACCAGGCTCTGGCTTTGTTACTATTCATCCAGGAAGAGCACAGACAAACTGCAGATGCTTCCTCAGCCTGAAGAAGGATATTTGTACCCAAAAGCCGGCAAAGAAGAATTTTTCCAATGATCTGAGTTGGAATTTTTCCAACTATCTAATAAAAGATATCAGATTTACCAAAAGAACCATGTCTGCCTATATCCTCAGACTAACATGGATACAACCTATACACCTGTAAAATGTACAGACAGCACATGTGGAATCCAACAGAGCTGCAGGGTTACTTAAAGATTTGGACTCCCAACTGTCAACTGCTCTCCCATTAATCACAGTCTTTGAGTATCTCAGTTTGCTCCAATGCAACCTCTCCTTTTCCCTTTCCTCTATGCTCTCAGGCCAGGCTTTAGTCTACAATGGAAGCTGTGTGCTCCCACTTTCTCTTGTGTGTGAACGTATCTCATTTACAGTGTTGTCATGACAAGTTGAACATATATCAGTTTTACACTTCTAAGTAAAAAATATATATTTTGAGATTCTTAATGAAAGAGTATTCCTTTAGGGTGAAAGTTCACTGTTATAGTGTGATGAAATATACTCTGGACTAGATAAAAATAATTTGTTTATTATGTGGTCAGTGAATGATTCTTCATGTTTTTAACTAGTCCCCAGAGGTGGCACAGTCACCTACCCTGGAGATCTTCAAAAGACGACTGGATGCACGCCTTGCTGGGGTCCTCTGACCCCAGCAGTCTTTTCTTTCCTGCCTAAGAGCAGGGAGGCTGGACCTGATGATCTCATGAGGTCCTTTCCAGCCCCTAACTTCTATGAACTAGTCTTTCCCTTCCTCTCATGTTTTTAGTTCTGCAAATAGTGTAACAGAATAGTACAATGTTATTATTCAATGACATCTATGGACACAATAGCAGGTGTGCATGCACATGTGCACACACTCACAGAAATATTGCATTCTAAACTTGTGACTTGTTTATATGTATTACCCAGTTTAAAATCTAACCTGTGCATGAAGATTTTAGTAATGTTTCACCTTACCTCAGATGGTCTTGTGATACATTTTCCTTTCCCCGAACACTGAATGTCTTCTGAGTGGCTTTCTGCTGACATGCAGGTGCTCACTTTTACTACGACAGTTAAGCGTAAAGCCACAATGCATTTACTAACTGAATCATTCAAAAAACCTGAAAAGAAACAGATGGTCATGAGTATTAATGTTTTACTATTAATAAAATAATACAATTGAATGCAATGAAATGATAGCCCAAGTCTGACCCTAAGTCAAGTCTCACAAATCCTCAGAAAGTGTGCATGAGATTTAAACTGGAAAAGTTTTTGGAAATATCAAAATATTGGTCAGGGGGTCTGACAAAAGTGCCCTATTTTGTGCATCTTTCTCTCACATATCAGTCAAGAAATTGGACCTATGAACTGTTGATCGAGGTTGTGCAATAAAGGAAACTGCAATGGTTTGGACACATCATGTGAAGGCTGGACACCCTTACCAACACCATAATGCAGGGCAAAGTGGAGGGAAAGAGAAAAAGAGGTAAACCCAAGAAGAGCAGGGAAACCAATATTAATTACTGGACAGGCCTTCAACTAACAGAGTCCACAAAGCTAGCCAAACACAGGGCAGAGTGGAGGAGGGTTGTTATAGTATCTAAGGTGCCTCAACATTTGCAGCAGCCTCGGGGCTGACTTGATTTGACTTCACTTCTCTTGAAAGACTCCCATTTCACTTCAAAGAACTTACATGCTAAATATAACGTTTAATGAATAAGTATTCAACCAAACCATTAAAACTGCTCGCAACACTAGTATATAATGAAGCACATTGTAGATTATTACAATACTCTAGAAGAGAATGAAATACACAAACAAAATATCTGTTTGATTTTGTCTGCTTAAGGCAGAATGTTAGTATTCCTATAACATTTTTATTATCTTTTCTTCAGTCTTTAATAGTGACATATATAATAACAAGAAACAAATCAAGTTAAAAAGTTAACTTAAATTAACAGGGATATGGAAAATATACTCTGAACAGAGATAATAACCAAACAAATCATAAGCTGCATTGCATCAGTACTACCTAAATAGTTTCCTTGTTAAATTTCTGGCTGAGTTTGAGAGGTCTTAATCACAATTTGATGACGTTTCTCTCATCAGGCGTTAACACAATAAGTTTTAATGTTTTATATGAACCGTTTTAAAACTTAAGGGAATGAGTAAGATATCAAAGGGCAGAACTTGAAAACTAGCGGGGGAAATGGGTTCACATGAAATCCTGGAATCTGGTTATCATTGGTAACAGGTTCAAGCACATCCATCTTACATTATATATACAGCATCAAGAAAGCCCAGGCCTCCAAGTCTTGGAAAATGATAGTGCACTGATAGAAACTGCATTGCATGTTACTGTCCCGTACTTTTGGCAAAGGTTATGGTGGCAACACTCACTTTACCAAATAACACAGTTTGTAAGCAGAGGTAGTTAGCTGTGTTAGTCTGAAGCCAGTCAGAAGGCAAAATAGATATGCACCTTTATAGATCAAGATATATATATCTAAAGAGCACAAGTTTTCATAGTCACTTCATCAGATGCTGTGAAAGGACAGGATAGAGAAGAGTATAAAGTGGAATGAGTGATTAGAATACAATAGGTAGAAAAGCAGGAAGGAGCGGGGGTGGGGAAGGGGTAGGGGAAATGCTGAGAGAGACATACAAGCAAAGAACCCATAGGAACAAACGGGTCACAGAAGCTACTCCAGGTAATGAGATAAGACTCTGTAGTCCCTGTTTAAAAATCACACTTAAAAGTCCAGTTTGTAGAAAGTTTCTTGTTCTGCACTTTCCCATTCAAACTCATTTTAAAAAAATGCTTGGTCCAAGAACAAAAAGAGAGTTTGTGAACACATATCACCTGTCTGCATCATTCTTTGATGAATGTGTACACAAGTGCTTGTAAGGGTTAACAGTTACACATACAAAAAACATTTGCATATTCCTGTTTGCCTTCTGTGAGAAATGGTATTTGTATATGTAATTCTCTCATTTGTATGCACAAGTGATTACCAGGGATCCATATTTTCCAATTCCCTCAGAAAAATGCGGAAAAATGCATAAAATCATGGATTTTCCCCTTTAAAGGAAAAAAACCCAAGAAACCACGGGTTTCCTCTTGCAGGCTGGGAGAGTTCCAGCCTGCAAGGGTCTGCTTGGGGTTGGGGGGAGTGGGAAGAAGGTGATCAGAGGCCAGGGGTTATGCGCATATGCGTGCACACACATACATGTGCCTTGAAATGCTGCCAAGCAACATGATGGAGAGCAGCTCCCTGTAGGTACAGTGAGGGCACAGGCAATGCATGGGGGTTGGGGGTGGCATAGGCAACACATGGGTGAGGAATGGGGAGGCACGTGCACCCCAACCTCTCCGGATTTCTGTGCTCACAGCAGGGCATAGGGCTGTACACTGGCCAGACCAGCACTAGGAAGGAGCCACCTCCACAGTCCAGCAGGTGGAACCCAGCAAGGGAGGGCAGAGCAGGGTGGGAAGGCTCAGTGCTGCCACTGTCACCACCACTGGGAGTGCCATACCACCATGGCTACCAAAGTAAGACACTCCCTGCCTGCCCAGCACCAGCAGGAGGGCACAACTCCATGCTGCTGCTGCCACAGTGCCTCACCTTGTTGGCCATGGCAGCACAGGTAGCCCAGGACTTCTGGCAGCAGTGTGGAGTTGTGCCCCCCACACTGGCAGGAAGTGCCTCACATTGGTAGCCATGGTGGCACAGTGCTCCCCCCTTCTCTGGGTCCTGCCCACTGGGCCACAAAGGCAGCTCCTGCCTGGTGCCAATCAGCCATGCTGCAGCCCTGTGCCCCACTATGGGTGCTGAAATCTGGTGGGGCATGTGCCCCTCTATAGCCCACAACACATTGCCTTCGCCCACACACACCCTGCCCCCACCCCCCACCCCTACTCTCTGCCACACATACTGGGAGCAGAAGACAGCAGGTCAAGAGTGAGGGGTGGGGGTCTGAGTCATAAGTGAAGGGCACCAGCAGGGCCAGTGAGCTGTAGGTCAGAGTGAAGCCACAACCCTCCCCTCCTCCCCTCACCCCCAGAGCAGAGCTGGGGGAGGGGAGGGCTGCAGACTGGGAGTGAGGGGCAACAGCAGGGGCAGGGGCAGGCCACTGGCATTTCAGGGCTGCTCAGCATCACAAAGCAGCAGCAGAGCAAAGCCATAGCTGGACCCACTTCCTGGTGAACAAAGGGGGCGGGGGAGCTTCGAATTTCCACGATAAAAAAATACCAAAAAGAATACTAAAATATATAGACATTTAGAATTTGTTTTATTATAATAATTGAGGCACTGGTAAGCTTCTACATAACTTTAAAATTGTAAATATATCAAGAAAACTGTGTGTTTAAATGATACATACATACATATATATACATGCATACATTTATACATATACATACATATATATATATATATTAGTGGTGTTTCACTTTAATTGATGAAAAACAGAGATTCAGGGTTTTTAAATCAGAGTATTTTGGATTTTTATCAGACAACTTTGATTTTTTTTTCTTTTTACAGAGAAAACCAGGATCCCTGGTGATAACTGATCAAAAAAGTGCACACAACTGCAAATATAAAAGAGACCAACTGCAAGCAGGGGCCATGTTCTGAAAATCTTGTTCTTAAGTATCTATGCTTCATGAGAAGACTGAAGGGTTGATTTAACATTCATTTAATTTCATTTTCTAGTGATTGTATTATTTCAAGAATATTGCTCAGACCACAAAATCTCTCCATTTAATTAAGTAACTATGATATAAAACAGAACCTAAGCGCAATATACATCCTTCATGATACTCACTCAAAAGATGAATAGAGAGTTTATTATTGATGTCAAATACAAAAAAGTTAAAACTAAGTTTTGATCCAAACATCCCAGCTTTTGAGTCTCAGAGTGGCTAACACATAATGAAAACTTTTGTAAAACCTACTTTGTTTCTCTTTATGTTACCCATAATTATGAACATATCTGCATGAAAATTAGATTTCTTTACAGCTCACTTATTCCTACTGTTTTGTCTCACCTCAAGGCGTAAGTCCATTTTGACTTTAAAATGTATTACTCTGAATCTGACTGATATATCTATATTACCCATTGAAAGGTTATGATTTCTGTTATGGAATAAAACCGCAAGAGTCCAAAACAAGAAGTATTCTATTTTTTTTGCAAATACATTCTTAGTATGAAAGAATAACAGAAGAAAGATGCCAAAGATATACAAAATAATAAAGAGTGTTTTTGTTTAATGAGGCATTGCCACCTTTCTCACTGTAATATTTCATTCATTTTAATCCTAATGTAATTAGTCTGAAAGAGATAATATTTAGATGTTAAAGATGGTTGTATTCCATAGTTTAAATTATCTTACCCTCCACAAAGGAATTTAATGGAATACACTTGCATTTTCCAGTTTCTCTAATTTTTTCCCTATAAGGCAGCAAATATTGCTACTGTTCCAAGGGGCCCAGCTGTGAAAACTGCAAAGCAAATGCATAGAATGAGCAAGATCTAGGAAATTCAGTCAGAAGACACTGTATACAACAAGACCCAGCTTCCTGGAAGCTCCCTGCATGAAGACATTTAGCATTAATATGAGATCATACCAGAAAACTCACTAGGCATTCCTCCTGGGTGTTGGATGCACAGCCACCATGGAGACTATTCTGCCTCTAAAACTGGATTGATGGCCATCATGCAGTTCTGTTGCAACTCTACAGCTTGACATAATAGAAGATTCCTTTTCTTTTAGCCCCAAAGGAAAAATTCAGCTTCCAACCCAACTGGAGATGTACAGTAGTCACAAACCCCCCCCACACACACACTTTAGTGCCATTTAAAAAAAATGAAGTGAGTACTAAGAAAACAGGGTTCCAGGAAATTGCTTGGATACTGAAAGAAATCGCTTCCTAGGGCTTTTGTGAAATACTACTTAGTTACTGGACAAGTAAAAATCAGCTGCTATCAATTCTATATGCACTGTAGGAAATGCTATGTAGGACTTTTCCATTCAATCTGTTCATCTCCAAATTTCATTTTATAAACACTGTAAAATTTGGGTAATGACTTGGAAATTAGAAACATTAATGTTCTACGT